ACATTTACCCCAGCCTATCTGTTATCTTCATTGAATTACCATTACTCACTACTTTATATGGACCCCACTAGTGCTAGCAGACGATAACAGCTACTATCACATCAGGAACTTTAAACATGCTGGGATTCAAGTTGCTATTTCTAGTCAAAGGGACCTCTTCGCATCTAATCTATTGTTATTCAAATTAGGGTGTATTTACCCATTTATGCCAGAGTTTATATACCGTATTTTTCGCCGCATAAGACGCACTTTTTCTTCCCCAAAACTGGGGGGAAATGTCAGTGCATCTTATGGGGCGAATATGGAGCGGCCGGTCTGGTATTTCCACCGCGGCCGTGTCAGAATACCGGGCCGGCCGCTCAGCTCTGCAGCAGGACCTTACCTGTTCCTCTATCCAGCGGCGTGCTGTCTTCCCGGCTTCTGTAGTGTGGGCACTGGGCATGACAGCTGGGTGGCAAGTGCGCATGCGCAAGAAGCGGTGCTTTTTGTGAATGGTAAGGCGGTACCTGGGACACATGACAGATCCCAGAAGCCGCTGGACCAATCACAAAGCGCAAGTGCTTCTCGCTCATGCGCACTGGGCTGTCATGCCGAGCGCCATTACAGAAGCCGGGAAGACAGCGCGCGGCTGGATCGAGGAACAGGTAAGATCAAACAAAAACTCTGCGGAAGTAAGAGCGGGTACCTGTCAAATTCAGGTACCCGCTCCCCACCTCCCCAAAGGTCAGCAGTCATCTGTACTGTCCGCAGTCTCTGGTCATCCCTGTGCTGTCCGCAGTCTCTGGTCATCCCTGTGCTGTCCGCAGTCTCTGGTCATCCCTGTGCTGTCCGCAGTCTCTGGTCATCCCTGTGCTGTCCGCAGTCTCTGGTCATCTCCTGTACTCTGTCTGCAGTCCATAAGTTCAGAATTTTTTTTTTCCTGTTTTCTGCCTCTAAAACCTAGATGCGTCTTATGGTCAGGTGCGTCTTATACGGCGAAAAATACGGTATATATATATATATATATATATATATTTCTTTGCTTTTTTATCTATTGTAATGCTGGTGGCCCAGAGAGAGCTAATTAGTCAACAAGCCTTTCCTTCCCCCTCCTGCTGATGTTGCAGTTACATAGTTACAACGTACCATTTGTGACCATATAATCTCTTAACCATTGCCACTTGGTTATTTCTATTTTATCAGTGTTTTCCTTTTATGGTATAATTGGGGATGTACCTCCTAAACCTTCATTCTGTGGTCTACTCTTTTAAACAAGCTTAATATAGAGGTGTTATTAAACAATTGTGTCTCTTGTATTATTACCCTATACTGTTGAATTGTTTAAACCCAACGAATCAGAAGTGTCAGGAGGCTTGCAAGGTCAGGGCAACCATTGGGGACAAGCATTATCAAGTGGTTCCTGAGGGGATAGTGCTACTGACATATGATAGGTGCACTTTAACCCCTTGATGCCAAGTGCATGCAAATATGTGGCCTCTTGGTGTCTGGGCCTTGACGCCAAGCGGCCGCATATTTGTGTACAGTTAGAAAATACATATGTGCTGGGAGTGCGCGCCCTGCGCACTCCCAGCGACTATGTCCGTGTCTCATGGAAAGGTCCCGATCTACCCTTTCAATCGGAACCTTTTCCGATCATGTGACCGCCGTGATGGCGAATCACGGTGGTCATATGACCCTAAAACCCGCCACACCTACCTGCTTCTGAAACTCTTAAAGGGCCGGGAGGCGCCGGTGCGAAGAGGTTAATCAAAGAGAACAAATCATCTAGTGGAATACCATTTCCATGTTGTTTTGCAGTATCATCACAAAATAATATACATTCTCTACAACTGGTTCCTGACAGATCTGTATGAAGAGGAGAAGAATCTATAAGTTCAATTATGAATGTGCTGCCTCATACATTTCTTGCTGGAGAATTTATACTTTCATGATTTTGCACTATATATAGATACTAACACACAATGTTGTGATCTTTTTCCTGATATTTTTCCATTCTATCATTTCTTTATTAAAACAGAAGCATCACACCAATGCTGGAGTATTGAGGTGAGCATGTATGTTTGTTTTTAATATACTCCAAACTTCTCCTTTAATCTCTGTTAGATTTTTAATTCATCAGGGTTCTTTACAGCCAACATGACAAACAGTGTTTTGTGGGTCACCTGAAGCCCTGTTAGGCCAGATTGACACTAATGGGGTACATAACTGCATGCATGTTGATGTGCATCATTGGACACATAAATGGCAAGGCAGTCCAATCATCCTCTGCCAATGCACCACAAAAGACAATTCAACACATTCATGGTGCGCTGGAGTGCTACTTGAAATATATGGTACCGCAATGTAATGCAGTTTGTTTTGCCATGTTATCACGTGAGTCCAGCTTAGGTTTCCTTTTTTAATTTAGTAGCTGGCTAGTTAAAAAAATGTTCTCTTCCACTTTTTGCAGGATTAAACTGGCATGCTAATCCAATCATCGGCAACGTAATACTTTTCTTCTTTTTCAGATTGACACAAGAGAGTGGGCAGCTTTCAAAAAGTCCCTATTTCCAAAAGATTTCCAGGTTACTGGAGCAGCAATTCGGAGGCTAAAGAAAGTGCAGCAAGTGTCCCTGGGTTTTGGTTTGTATCAGACAGGTTTTGCACTCCCCTACAGGTCTAGGTGCGTGATGCCAATTGTCTTGGATTTGACAAGACACTCCTTCATCTCTTTTCTTTCTCCTGATGAAGTTGGGTGCCCTGGGATGTGTCCCAAGGTCACAGCATGACCCTTAATTAAGTTACTGAACCACGAGTTGGTGGATCCCACTTTTTGAAGGTCCAGGACTGCCCATAAAGTGGGTGTAGTCTCGAGGGGACTGCCCATAAAGTGAATCCTGGACAGAGATGCCTGGAAGGTGGGCATATGAAGTGTGGGCTATGGGTGGGGATGACAGCATCCCAGGGACTGGGATGAATATGCTGTTAAGTGTGCTATGGGGATGCAAAATCCACTTAAAACAGTAGGATAGGTTCCCCCTTACATTGATGGTCAGTAGAAAAGGTGGTCCTTTACATTGGAAGTCGGTGCAAGAAACACCCTGTTGCATTGGTTGTCAGCACAGTACCCCCAGCTGCTTTGCAAGAGGAAACTTATGCATGTGGATAATGGAAATATTGATTCATTTTGCCTGGCTGCAACCTCTAAGTGTTCAGTTACATTAGCCCCTATGTTAGGGGTAAATAGGCTCTCTATAGGGGTGCAGTTTGGTTTGCCACTGTACACCACCACCTCATGAACATGAGCCAAGGGTGAGAAAGCAGGAATGTACTTTAAGCCATATGTCAATAATGGCATAAATGGGTGAACCATCATATTTTTCAAAAGGGCCCTGTGATTATTAGAGATGAATAGAAAAGCACAAACACACAATGCAATTATCCAAATACGAACTGTACACAGAAACAAGATATTTGTTAAACATTAAAGTTCATTTACATCATAGAAAATCTTTTCTGAGAGAAACACTTAATTGCTGATCTCTTTCTATAATAGTATATAAATACTTTCTATAAAGTATATAATACTTCTCTCTTTCCTAATACTACTGACCTGGCTGATATGTAGCACAGGCCTCAATACTTTCTGAGTCATTGGGCAAAAATAATCATTCAATTACAAAGTCAGAACCCCTTATGCACAAATTTGTTTGGTTGCGGTAGGTTTCTGAAGCCAGAGTGTGAACATGACAGCTGGAAAACTAGCAGTTACAAAGTAACAAGCCAACTATGCCTGCTATGCGTTTTTCTGTGCAAAGGCTTCCTTTAAAGCCCAACTCCAGGTAAATAAACAAATTATCTCTAGCAGTGGGGCTCTGTCCGCAGTGTGAGGGTTGATTGCTCATTTTATTCTAGGGGAACAAAAAAAAGGTTTACTTAACCGATCCTCTGCTCCTCTCTACAGCTAGACTAATCCCTGCAATCTCTACACCGGTCCCTGCAATGTCTGCACCCCCATGCTCCACTGGTCCAAGGTCCTGATGTAATCAAGGCCAGAGCAGGATCCATGGCCCTGCTGTGGACGTGAGGACACTGAGGAACAGTTCTCTGGCAGAGTGTGCAGGATTGCCATCTTCCAGGAGAGCAGAGGATCAGGTAAGTAAAACTATTTCTCCTCTCATTATTATTGTATTTATTGGCACCCAATCTTTTCGTGTGTGTAGTATTTCATATGTAATATCCCAGTAAATACCATGAATATATGAATAAAGTGTTCTACATAATTTTGGTAATTAAATTAATTACTTATTCATATGATATTTATATGTATATATTTTGTCTTATTGGTATTTTTTGCTTATTACGTATTCTTTCTTCTTAGATGAGTTTTTTTCTTTCTTCTTTATTATTATTTTGGTGGTTTGGTTTACAGTTTGTTTGTTTTTTTGTGTTTTTCTAGGGTGTTCGAATTAGTATATGTTGACTGTGTTTATATATTGGTTTATTTTGAGTTATATTGCTTTAACACAAAAACAAATGAACACTGCTCCTTCAGATACTCCTATTAGTTCAAATGTTTGTCATTGACGAGCTAAGCCCTCCACTTCATGTGGGGGGGCTCATATGGGTTAATTTATTTCACCTGTTGATGTAGGATCAAAAGGAGGGAGTGTTCATGGAGCTTTCAGTAATGAATAAGCACTAAAGGAATGTGAAACGTGTCTACTGATGGTCCCAGGGCCGTGTATTGCTGTCTTTTTATCTTTATGGATTGAATGATAAATGAAAGTACAAATATTATAATAATGGACAGAGAGGTAAAACATACACAATAGGCTGAGTGTAAAAGAGTGGACTTTGCTTGTAAAAGTATCATTAAGATCTGTCTCAGCATGTAGCAATCAATCAGGTTTCACAGACAACAACAGAGCAGAAAGGGAGAATTGGACTGTTCGACATAAGGTACAGCAGCCAGTCTGGGACACATCTTTTCTCCAGCAACCAAAATCACCCTTCCTGCATTAGCGTACTGAAAGGTAGATTTGGAAGGGGTGCGGGCTAAAGTTGAACATAAATAAGGGATCCTGCCGAGGAGGTGGCTGTTTATCTGGGATGTAAAATTCAAAACGCTGCAGCAGAGATGTAAAGAAGATAAAAAGGTCCATTCTTGCCAGTTGCTCCCCCACACATATGCGACGTCCTACAAAACAAAAAGAGGAAAAGTTCAGGACTGAAGCCTGAGTTTTGCGATCATTACTAAAGTATGTATTTCAAACTAGAATATTTTTTATTCATAATGGCTCACAGGACAACACAAGTTGAAAGAAGAGAGCCTACAAAATATATAAAACTCAGATCAAAGTGCATACAGTATATAGCCAAATATTTTTTTGTTTAGTTTTGTATAACGTTAAAAAGTTATAATACACCTGTCAATTTATTTTTTCTGCCAATTTCCGTCCTAAAAAAATAATAGGAAGTGAGAGGAAATCTCCATGAAATGACAGTAATTGTTACCAGAAGAAATGTTTCATTGTAAGATATACCCCCATCTCCTGTTCTGGTGACAATTACACAATTTTAAAATTCCTCTCACTTTCTGTCTCAGTAATGATCTCCAGGAGAAATAGATTTGGGTGAATCTACACAGCAAGGACACAGGCAGAAATTAAAGCTTGACAGACATTCTAACCCTTTCCTACTCCATCTAAAACTAAAAAAATATTCTTGGCTATATATCCTTCCTTTCTCCTCAACAATATAATACATAAGTCATACTTCTGTATTGTCCCTTAGGAATTCTGCCTCCAGTGCAGGGCTAAACAATTCTTCTCCTTTCTCTCTGTCTGATTTTCAGATACTCTCATACTCTCCACCACTTCTACTCCAATAGCTATACTCATCATCTCCGCTATCTAGCTGCCCAGCCACATGTTACATTCCCACTGTTCCACAAGTATCCCAACAACTCCACTTTCCAGCTCCTTAGCAACACACCCCATTCCTCACCAGCACTGTCCCAGAAATACCCCAACACCTTCACTTTTCTGGTCCCTAGCCACAAGTTCCCTTCCTCACCAACACTGTCCCACAAGTGCTCTGACACCTCCACACTCTTCTTGATCACATTTGCCCCTTTCCCCTCTAGCACTCTCCAGTCACATATGTATCCTTTACCTTCATCAGTATTCTAAAATGTCTGCCTGACAAATGTACACACTTAGTGATCTTTGAATCCTGCTCCTTTCCACTTACACATACACATCTTAGTTTTACATTCCACCCACTCCTGGTCCCTCTACCTCCTAGGGCTCATGTACACTGCAGCTTATAAACTCACATTTAGGAGCTGTTTGCCGTTTTTTTCAGCAGCCCCTGAACTCTCACTAATGTTTTCACATCTTCGTTTACAGTCGTTTACAGACATTTCAGTTTACAGTCTTTTTTTACGTGCAGAAAACTTGCGTTCAGCAGTCGATTTTATCAGCATTTCAAATGCAAAATTCTTCCAGTTCCCAATGCTGTCCAGAGCCCTTTTTCATCATGAAAAATGCATGCAAAGTGTTTTCAAGGTACTCAGATGGACAAAACACTGAAAACAGGATGTTCCTACCAAGCTTGTCACACATTGTAATGACCAATTCACACCTCAGACCTCTCACACCCTTGGAAACAAAAGATATGTTAATGACCATTCACACCTCAAATTCCAGATAAAGACCCCCTGCCAGGTGGCCTTACTGGCTCACTCCACCAGGCACCTTTCCCACCCTTGGAAACAAAAGAAATGTTAATGAGCAGCTAACACCAAGCTAATCTCAACACATACTGCTCTTTCTGCTTCTACTCTCTGTATTTCTCTGAAACAGGCTGAAATAGTTAATAATTTACCACTTTTTAGTGCATTCTGGGCATTTGGGAGGTTCTCCTGTGCTTATCTTTAAAAAAAGCTTGTAAACGCAAATGCACATAAACGCGCATAACTGCGGATAAACGCGTTATGCAAACCCAGCTAAACAGACTTTTTTAACCTATGTTTTTCAGCAGTCAGTTTCCATCATTCAGAAGTGTCCCATGTACATGTGGCCTACTTTTCCAGCTGCAGCTACACCAGAGACCTCAATTTCTCCATGCAACTGGCCAGCTGGTCTTAGGCTACCCTGCACCTACTGCAAGCTATCATATTCTCTGCACTCCTCTCTTGTACTTACTGGTTGCTGCCTCACCCTCTATGCTCCTCTTCTTTACCTAAAGGTCATTGCAGTAGCCAAAGCAACCATTTAGCCCTGGTTCACATATATGCGGCCATACGGGCTGCATTTTGTGTGGTCATGAAAGCCCATTCATGTGAATGGACTCCCATGCCCGGTGACATGCAGAAAAGAAGTTCTGCACTTCTTCTGAAAACACAGCCCGCACGGGAACCTCAGTTCCCAGTACAGTTGCGTTTTCCAGTGCCGGCGGCATGCCATTTCTCTGTGTGGGTGGTGCGGTAGCACGGATTTTCGTGCGGATCCGCAGCGGCACCACCCACACAGATGTGAACCTAGCCTAAAACATACTTGCATTGTTTTTCTTTTCACAATTGTATTCCTGTTGAATTGTCTCATCACTGAGCCCTGATTACTACCTAATGTCTCTAAATTTCCTCAAACAGAAGAGTATTAGCATGTGCGTATGACAGTTTTGATTTACAGGTTTCGAGTTACAGGTTACCTAAGAGCCCATTCACACCAGGTGCACTGGGATGCATTTTTCTATTTCAATGGTTTTTATTAGTTTTTAAACAGTATAAAAGAGAAGCAATAAAACATGCCAATGCAGGGGCTATCAATTGCACAGATTAAAAAAAATACAAAATAAAAAAAAAGGAAAAACAGTGCTCTAATGCCAACAGGGCAAAAGGTACGCCCACGCAGAGGCTATCAATGGCACATAAGTTACAAAACATTACTGTAACTGACTATAACAACTAAATTCAGCAGTCCAGTCACACCAAAACAGAGAGAGAATGAAAAAAGAAGAAAGAGGGGAAGAAAAAGGAAGAGAAAAAAAAAAGAGGGGCAAAGAGCAAGGGTCCAAGAGCGGCAATACCAAACGCCATTACATCCCCAGACTAGCCGGGGGGAGTGAGGGAAGGGCATATTGCAACCACGGCTCCCATATTTTAAAAAATTTACGTTCTGAGTCGTTGCGGATACTCGACATCTGTTCGTTGAGCATCATAGTGGTCATACAATCCCACACCCCCTGAAGAGGGACAAACTGACTCTTCCAGGCCTGAGCAATTGTTCTAGTGGCCGATAAAAACAGATAGGAAGCCAACTTCTGCTGATGAGCCAAGAGGCCCGGTATGGGGCAATGAAGCAAAGCATACCAAGCATCTCGGCGGATGGAGAGATGGAACAAGGTGAAAAGGAGGCCAAACACCTGGGATGCATTTTTGACTGCATTCCAAATGCATAGACACTTCAAAATCCAGGTTATCCTATGGGCATAGTTCACACTGTTGCAGTGCAGTGAAAAAAGTATGAAATGCAGCGCTCTTAAAAAGTGAAAAATAATAATAATAAACACAGTCCGGTGAAAAACAGTGCTCCTTGTTTCCCAGTGTAAATGGTAGAATTTCGCACTAACCAGAAAGCGCATAGGTAATGCGCATATGTGTATATATATCCTGAAGATCCTCTCTCCACTTGAATATGGTCAGGTATATGGCTGGGAAGAATGGAGATCCTACGCCCTCATGTGGTGAGAAGTAATTCGGCAGGTCAGAGCAGTAACGATCTAGGTAAGCCTCCAAAGGAACTGGCACAGGAATCCCCAGGGCTACAAAGATGGAAGAAGCTCCTCACCGGAGACACATAGGGGAGCACTCATAGTGTAGTAATTAAAACTTTTATTGAGAACAACACAGGTGCAGAATACAATTGAATAGCCCAGTATGAGCAAACACACTGACCCTTTTGGAAGTCAAAATGGCCGCCGGGCCTCCTCGTGGCACCGGCGGCTTAGTGTCAACGGCGTCCTGGGTCCCAGTGAAAAAAGTATGGCAAGCTGCATTGTTCTGCACTGCAAATGCACTAAACTGCATTGTACCACAGTGCAGTACACATAAAAGCCCAATGAAAATGAAAGTGACCAAAAGTTAATGCATCGAAAATGTGTACAAATGCGTGTATAAAATACACATCAAATGTACATCACTATGGATGCACAAAACGTGCAGTAAACGCACAGTTTCTGATGTGAATGGGCCCTAAATGTAATATTTTACTTTTTAGGAGATTCTAGAGAGTGAATCCACCATACATTTTTATACAGTACATCTCTCTGGGTGAGAATGCTACAGTTTCGTTTTCTTGTCTGTAAACCTGCTGTGGTCATTAATGGAGATTCCTCTCTACAAATTGAATTTTTTCTTTCATATTATTGAGAATGCAGCAATTTAGCTGAAATACACAAAGGTTGACAGGAACATGAAAAAACTTTCAGATAGATAGGAGCCTGGGAGTTTTTCAGTGTCCATCAAAACATTAAAAAGACAGAGGCTAATGCAGCCAAACATAGTCCACCTGCTTCTAAAAAACAGCTTTTAGTTGGACGTACCCTTTCAAGCTGAACTCCAGGCAGATATAAAAGGCACAAATTGATGCAGCTGTGTAATCAATGATACTTTAGTAAATATATTTTTTTAAACATAAGCAGTGTGTGAGTACCTATGACATGGTATTAGCCTCTTATAGTGTTCTGTAAAGAAAAACTCAGAAAGTAGGGGGGGGGGAGAAACAGCACAAAGAGACAATCAGTTCAAGTAACATGCTGATAAGAGGAGAGAACAGAGTGATTGAGAAGTATGCTGCTTCTTCTTTCACTGTCCAGTCACAGAGTGAGATTGTGAAGACCCATAAATGAAAGTGAAACTGTAGCAAATAACATCAAGTTCTCTCTCCACCATGCAGGGATGTGCTGTGTGGCAGAGCTGTGAGAATCTCAAGACAGGGTAGATCGAAATAGAAATCTTTTGATAAATAAAACATGGCAATAGTATTTCTTTTATATGTGAGTTTAGCTGTGTGCCTGGAGTTCAGCTTTAAAATCACATTTGGCAATGACTATGAGCTTACTATACCTGCAGAAAACGGAATAAATGCCTCTTGTTTTACAAACTTTCCTTCTGAATCCAGGAAGTGTTCTGGGTAGAACTGATGTGGCTTCTTCCAAATGGTACCGTCTTTTAAAACAGATGTTAGGTTGGGTATGATAGTGGTGCCCTACAGTACACAGTAAAGAAACCCATCATTTTAATTTTTTTTGAGTATACACTATACAATCATGCATGGGCCTGTGATCTCATGATTCCCAGATGGAAACTTTAGCTTTGTAAATAAAGAAAAAATTATCTTGCGCTGCTAAACCTAGTAAGATAAACTAAGTGTGGCTGCAAACACCAAATTGCGTTACCACAACACTAAAAAATAAATAAATAAATAGTGCCGTGCTACTTACTGAACCTAACCATAAAGCAAAACATAAACGCCCGACAGAGCCTCTAACTAAGGTGATATAAGTGCATATCTGTTTGGTAATTTTCTAGCTATGCACTTATATCACCTTAGGGGCTCTGTCAGGCATTTACTTTTTGAATTATGGTTAGGTTTAGTGAGTAGCGCAGCACTATTTAACTCCATAAAGTTTCTTTCATTAGACTGGTATAACTGGGCAAAATGTCAGCTAGACAGGACTTTAATTTGCATAACAGGACAGGAAAGAAAATGCTTTTGTATCCTGAACTGTGACTGATAACTGTTGTGGAACTTCTTAGTTTCTCATTGCTATGTTATCCTTCTGCAGTGTGTACAGGGGGAAATGGAATATTCAGTATTGTAAAGTACAGCAGCCATCTTTAACCACTTGCCTACAGGGCACTTATACCCCCTTCCTGCCCAGGCCAATTTTCAGCTCTCAGCACTGTTGCACTTTGAATGACAACTGCGCGGTCATGCAACACTGTACCCGTATGAAATTTTTATCATTTATTTGAGACAGATAGAGCTTTCTTTTGGTGGTATTTAATCATCTCTGGGTTTTTTTATTTTTTGCTAAACAAACCAAAAACCACTGAACATTTTGAAAAAAAAGTGTTTTTTCTTAGTTTTTGTTTTAAAATTTTGTAAATAAGTGATTTTTCTACTTTACTGATGTGTGCTAATGAAGCTGCAGTGATGGGCACTGATAAGCTGCACTGATGGGCACTGATAGGTGACACTGATGGGCACTGATGAGGAGGCACTGGTAGGTGGTACTGATGGGCATTGACAGGCATCACTGATGGACACTGAAAGGCAGCACTCATATATGGCACTGATATGTGGCACTGATAGGCGGCACTGACTGGCACTGTTAGGTGGCACTGACTAGCACTGTTAGGCAGCACTAATAGGCAGCACTGACGCACTGATAGTCAGCACTGATGCACACTGATAGGTGGCACTGACATGTGGCACTGATTGGCAACACTGATAGGTGGCACATACTGGCATTGATAGCTGGCACTGAAAGGCAGCACAGATGGGCACTGATATATGGCATTGATGTGCACTGGTAGGCACTGATATGTGGCATTGATGTGGCACTGATGTGTACTGGCAGGTGGCACTGATCAGCACTGACAGCTGGCATTGATGGACACTGACAGTGGCACTGCTTTGGCTACACTGATCATCAAGGCACACTGATCATCAGTGCCCTGATGATCAGTGTACATGTCCCCTCTGAGGAATGCCGCTTACTGATTATCCTCTCCTCTCGAGCTGTCAGCGTGACAGCTAGTGAGGAGAAAAATGCAGATAACTGACATTTCTCTATTTACATGTGATCAGCTGTGATTGGACACAGCAGATCACATGACCGAGCCGACATCTTCGGCCCTATCCATTGATCGGTGGACACAGCGCACCACCGATCACCACGCTGCGTGTTCCCGGAGCCTCGCACGTGCGGTTAGAGTGGGAGGACGTCATATGATATCCTCCCAGAACGAGAGAACCACCTTGCGCCCGTCATTTCCTTATATGGCGGATGGGAGGCGGTTAAGGAGACCACTTTGCTCATCTATAGAGTGTCTCCAGTGCAGGGGGCAGTCATGTTGGCTGGGTCTGAATTTAATCATGTAGGTGATTGTCTAATGTTACAAAGCAAGGGGAAGGGGTCTGCAGTGGGGAGAGAGCACAACAAGTTTGTAATGAAGGGGGAACAGTGGTTTGTGGCCAGAGTTTTTGCTGGTGCTATCTGATGCTGTGCTTCCCAGGAGAAGAGTGCAGTTCAGAGGCTAAGCTCCTTCTGCTGGATGAATGGATCCCTGCCATAGCTAACCACAATCAGGTGAGAACTCAGGGAAGCAAAGGGACTGAGAACCATCTTCCTGGGAGGGTGTGATTTGGATGCCTGGTGAGGTTAGACTGTACTAGAGAGCACTCCCGCCACTTGTAAGGAAGGGAAAGAGGGACTGCCTTTGTAGGAATGAAAGAGAAAGATCATCAGCAACTTCTATCCCTGTCAGACTTAAACTGGACTTTTACTGAATCAGAGCACGTGTCTGGAGACCCAGAAGAGGGTGCCCTGTGAATGGTAAGAGACTAACATCATACATTCGATTATATCTTGAAGGGCGCCAACTTTTCCAGATGGCAATTTTTATCCATCAGTCACTAACCAGGGGGATAAAACTGGGACTGTTATAGCAAGTTAGGACTGTCTTTATATACTGTTGTTAGCAGGGGGGACTGACAACTCATGGGGCCCCCGGGCAATAGGGGATCATGGGGCCCCTGTGTCCTTGGCCAAACGCAAAAAAGTCTATGAATAAGGTACCAGGGGCATCTCATGGGGCCCCCTACTGACCCTGGGCCCTCGGGCAGTGCCCGAGTTTCCAAATGGTCAGTCCACCCTGGTTGTTAGGAAAATGCAGTTCAGTTCTGTTCATTACTGTTAGTCAGATGACTGCAGATATTTAACCATATCTCTCAGAGTAACGTTATTGCCTTATTGATTATTTGTATAAGTACACTTGCCAATCATTTCTCCATGTAGGCTATGCTTGACCTAATGAATTCTTTGAAATACCTCAAGGTGGGTCAGTAAGTGTTGGGTTAGTGAGGTGTGTTATCTTCAGGTGTGGACAGAAATCTCAAAACAATTAAACGGCTCCTCTGGGGGTATGGCTACACTTATTTCGCATGAATCAGATAAAGTATGTCACTCCTATTGAAGTAGTGCTCTCTCTACCTACTTAGCAAGTAGAGTGTTAGCTAGTTTGTAATTGAACCCAGGTACCCTATTTAAAGCCACATTGCAGGGCCATTTGCAGTGGGGTGGGTGGTGAGATAACATGTTTTGTCCAAAATATATCCTTCTACTTCATCTAAACCCAATTTTTTTTTCTGTTTTAAAACTTCTTTTGCTTTATTTTCACATGGTAATCCTGCAAATAACCTGAGGACCCTGAGGAAGTCACGTGAGAGGTGACGCAACGCATAGGTGACGTCATTTCCAGTGCGGACGCCATGTTTGGACACCCTAGAGAACCCAGCAAGTACACCCATGCATGAGGTTCTATATGCTCTGTACAAGAAGAGGAAAAAAGTGAGTGTCCTGTATATGTTATCTTACTGTAATAATAAATGATAATGCACTATGGAGGCTTTTTTCTTTGTGGATTATGTGGGAGCTGATATGTCTGGATAAGAGCCATTTAGGAGATTGCTGGTGGATACCCAGGAGGATCCAGGAGAGATCCATAAGGCATTTAGGCCCTTTTAGGGTTGCAGCAAGGAGGTGAGGGGCCAATCAAGCTGAGTGTGCTGTTATCACCAGGATCTAACAACACACGAGATTCACCTGCATGTGTATTTATGACGTGGACACTGGTGGCACTTTTTGTTTATATAACAAGTTTTTTTTTTTGAGTGATGTGTTCACTTATTGCATTTTTAGGATTTAGTTGTCATTTATATTGATGAATAGAGTGTGTTGACACTGAGCACTATCATTATTAGATACATCCCCTGATATAGGGGCTTATTAATGGTTATCTTCACTTGTAGCACCATTGTGTTGTTGCAATTTTTTTTTTTTCTCTTCAATGTGATTCACATTGAAGAGAAAATGTCATACCACGTTTGTTCACTAATATGTCATTATGTGTATATATAGAAATTTAGTTTATTTATGAGTACTGCACTTATTTTATATTTAGTTTGGTTTATCACTTTAGGTAATAAGGTGCAGGTGTAGCAGCTTATCTTTAGCTTATTAGGATTGTGCGCAGGAGGTTTCCACATTTATCTGCAAATAACACACTTCCTTCTAAGAAGGCAACATCATTCCTCCACTGTAGGGAGGGGGCCATGGTTGTCACTGTAGGCTGCTCCCCTTATATGGGCTACAAACTTTTCTGTAGCCCATTAGTAGGTTACAGACAATAGCTTGGAAGGGAGATACTTATTGCACTTTACTGTGCAGCTCACAGGACGTGACAAGGACACTGCATTTCTGGCAAGATCAAAATGCATTTTCTGTATTTGCTGAAAATATTTAGCTCAGAAAAAAAAGAAAACTATTGCAGATACCACGTCTAGCAACTGTAAGCTACAATATATTAAAATTTTTCCTCTTGGGTTTTGTTGTCCTTTAAGAGAGTTTTGGTCTTTTGGGAGCGCATATTTAACAGGGTCTCATTTGCTTTAATGAGCACTCTGGGGTTTCAGGGCTCCTAGAAGACTAAAGAAGCTGCCTAAAGTTATTTGCAGGCATCTCTATGTTTTTGCATGTACAGAAAAACAGTCATGTAAACTGGAAAATGTATTAACAGTTCAACTGAAAAAATTGCCAGTTTTTGTAGTCTCTAACATTCATTGTTCTACTGTTGGATAACAAGGCTAGAATGTAACAGACTATACACCACCAAGTTTACCATTCTCCTTCACACACTGGGTGTTTACCTTGGGGATTTCAAAACCTTGGATGTTGGTGTCTCTGTATGTCATATGGAGCAGAGCCATAGGCAGGATATTTCCATAGCGCTGGACCTCATGAATTACCGCATTAGTATATGGCATATTGGACTGGTCTTCTATTGTGGGCAGCCTATGTCTTCCAATCACACGGTCTATTTCTTCATGGACCCTCTCTGTTTTAAAAAAATGACATATTATTCAGTTTGGAGTACATGTAATACTTCATTCCATCTTCCTAGATGCTTTGTAACACGATCACCTTAATTATCAACCCCCTACCCCCCAACATTCCACATTCTTCAGAGCTCGATGCCATTTATGCTCTTATAAAATGTATATTAAAGACTGACATCAAAGTGTTATTAGAGTGGTTGTAAACCTCTTGAATAAAAAATGAATAATGCACATCATCCTATAGTGTGTACTTGCCTTGACTCAAAGCACCTAGTGTTATTTCTTTTTGCTCTCTCATTCATCTGCTATCTGCATAACAAACAATAATACCCTCTATGTCAGCGGTTCTCAACCTGTGGGCTGCGACCCCTTTGGGGGTCAAACAACCCTTTCACAGGGGTCGCCGAAGACCATCGGAAAACACATATTTCCGATGGTCTTAGGAACCGAGACACCGCTCCTCTATCCGTCTCCAGGAGGGTCCACTCACATGCAGATATGCCCACATTTCCCTGGACCGCGATGTGTGGGCGGGATGACATGCTGCCCCTGTCATCTGGCCACTCAACAGCCCCGCCTCCTCACTGGTGATTGGCCGCTGGAACTGTAGCTCAGGAGAGGCACACAGGTGGCCAATCACTGGCGAGGAGGTGGAGCTTGGAGAGGAGGAGCGAAGTGGCAGCACGAAGATCAAACAAGATTGAGTGAGGGAGCAGCCAGAGAAGGAAGACAGCTGACCGGTAAATGTACCATGCAGATGGTGCTGCTGCAGCCAGGTATACTGGCTGTAGATGGGAGAGGGAGGGAGCGAGCCCAGGCTGGAGCAGGGGTCAGCAAGGTAAGTATCATTGGTGTCAGTGGGAGGAATAGTGCCCCATCATTGGTGTCACTAATACCAATGATGGGGCACTATTCCTCCCACTGACACCAACGATGGGGCACTATTGCTCCCCCCACTGACACCAACAATGGGGCACTATTCCCCCCCCCCACACTGACATCAATGATGGGGCACTATTCCTCCCCCCACTGACACCAATGATGGGGCACTATTCCTCCCACACTGACACCAATGATGGGGCACTATTCCTCCCACTGATACCAATGATGGGGCATTATTCCTCCCACTGACACCAACAATGTGGCACTATTCCTCCCACTAACACCAATGCTGGGGCACTACTCTTCCCACTGCAAAATTACAGTTATGAAGTAGCAACGAAAATAATTTTTATGGTTGGGGGTCACCACAACATGAGGAACTGTATAAAAGGGTTGCGGCATTAGGAAGGTTGAGAACCACTGCTCTAGGTGATGGGATTTTTTATGCAGCAATATCCATGTAATCATATTTAATGTATAAAACATTCTTTAACATTCTGTATCTTGGCAGTCTCAGTGGTGTGGGTATTTCGGTAGTACCCCTCTGGAGTTCATTGTTTTTAACTTGGGCTACTTTATGTACTTACTCCAAACATCAAGTTAGAAGAATACTCTGAACCTGAATGCGCTTTCCCCTGAGGAAGAGATTTATATATCTCGAAATACGTTGGGTGTTATTAAAACATATGCTTAGGATCCAGTGTTACATAGAAGTATTCAGAACTGAGTCTTTACCACATGGTCACTTATTGTTTTGTTGTACTTGTATATGTTATTTTATTAAATGAAGATGTATTTTATACGTTTTCCAATAAACTAAAAAAATGTTTTATACATTACAATGGTTCTAAAGGCTGGAGGTTTGTTACTCTCATGTACTCTATGCATGAAGGTAAAAAACCTTCTGTGTGCAGCGGCCCCCCAGCCCCCCCCCCCTCCCAATTATTACCTAAGCCCCCTCGTTCTCAACAGCCTCTGCTGTCTGGGGACTCTTCTTATTCATAGGCTGAGGCATTGGCTCCCACTGCTGTCAATCACAGCCAGTGGGCCAATGAGGAGAGAGTGGGGGCATGAGGCCGAGCTGCAGCTATGTGTGTGCTTTGGACACACAGAGCAGCGGCTCAGGGATTAGCACGCAGTGGTGCCCACAGGGTGAACAGCTTTCCCTGGGACCACTGCTCAAGGGGGAGAAGCCAGGAGCATCAGAGGAGACCTGAAAGTAAGAGGATCTGGGCTGCTCTGTGCAAAACCTGAAGCTTTAATGTCACTTTAAATATGATTACATGAATATATTGTTGCATCAAAAATCCCATTATCTAGAGGGTATTATTGTTGTTTTTAGGGATGTTTGCAGCCTCGGATGCCCCTACTCTCTTAATTCTGCTATCTGAATAAAATCACTTCTGACAGTCTATGCCAACACCAAGCAATCCAGGGAAATGGCCTGCCCCCCCCCCCCCCCTTTAGCATGCAACAAGTGATTGACAACCTCAGCTGTGCATATTTCTATGAGAATGAGTAGGGGGTGTCCATTCCCTCCACTCAGGTCTCAGATTACACTCAGCTCTATGCTCCATGCTATGCAGTGTGTGACATCAGATCCCTACCTACCTGCTTCCTGGAGAAGTTTTGCATTTGAACAGCTGTAGAGAACAGAGTACTGCAGATTAACAGGTTCAACATACAGTATGTAGGAGGATTTGTTTCATATGTTTGTATCACCTCAGGCTAGTCACTTCAGTAGGTATATGTAAGGGTTTATAACCACTGTAAACTACAACTCCTATGAATCATTGCACAGGTAATTCTACTAGGCATGCATCCCAGACATCTTAGTGTTGTTTCCTCCCACCAGTTTATCAATTGGTGGGTCAGAAACAGCACGTGAAAGCACAAAAAATGACCTATGGAAAAACATGTAGGATAGCCCAGCACAATTCATTCAGAGACACATGCACAGTGGGATCACATTCATGGAGTCCATCTCTGGAGCACACTGAGCAGTGGGGCTACATTCCAATATACAATTGGACAGTGGAGAATGAACATAACCACCCTCTAGCAGTAAATCTCAACAGAGCAACTAGAAAAAAATAATTATGGAAATCTGGAGAAGGCTGACAACAAAAGAAAGGTACGTTGTGGAATTAAATAAGTAGGGCCAAAGCTATTTTGGCTATACTTCCCCAATGGATCACAGGAGAGTGCACTCCTGTGGCCTGTTTTCAGCTGACAGCAGGCTAAAGTCCGCTGTTGGCTGATGTCACTCAGCCAGTCGACACTCTGAAGAGATCCCAACTTTAAAGCCGGGATCCACCCAGATATGCCTGGACCTGCAGCTGGGTCAGTCTCTCAGCAAGAGAGCCTTGTGTTCTAGTGAGCGCTGGAGGGGCAGAGCAGAGAGTTGGAGACTGACAGTCACTGGCTCACTACAGACTTAATACCATGAACTGAGTGATCAGTAGTTTTGACTGACCAGTTCTCGGGGTAGAGCCGGTGAGGCACAGCTACAGCTGGGATCATGCTGCAGCTATCTACAGTGCCATTCATACCCCTTGAAATTTTCAACATATGGATTGGTACAACCAAAAAAGTAAATGTATTTTATTGGGATTTTTTGTGAAGCTGTCTGACAAAGTGAAGCATGCTAAAAGATCTTAAAATCATGCCGCATCTAAAAAAATTCAAGAACAGATGATAAACAAAGTAAATGACATTTATCAGTCTGGAAAGAGTTACAAAACAGTTTCTAAGGCTTTGGGACTCCAGTGAACCACGGTGAGAGCCATTATTCACAAATGGAGAAAACTTGGAGCAGTGGTGAACCTTCCCAGGAGTGGCCAGCTTACCAAAATTACTTCAAGAGAACAATGACAGCTCATCCAAGAGGTCATAAAAGAACCTAGAATAACATCTAAAGAACTGCAGGCCTCACTTGCCTCAGTTAAAAATGAGGCAAAAATGGCATCCATGTCAGAGTTCCAAGGTGAAAGCCACTGCTGACTATAAAGAACACAAAGGCTGATCTCACATTTGCCAAAAAACATCTTTATAATTGCAAGATTTTTGGGCAAATATTCTGTGGTCTGATGAGACAAAAGTTTTTGTGAGGTGTGTGTCCCGTTACATCAGGTGTTAAACAAACAGAGTATTTAATAAAAAGAAAATGATACCAACAATCAAACATGGTGGTGTTAGTGATATAGTCTGGGGCTGCTTTGCAACTTCAGGACTTGGATGACTCACCATAATTGATGGAACCATGAATTCTGCACTTTTCCAGAAAATCCTGAAGGAGAATGTCCGGCCATCAGTTTGTGACCTCAAGCTCAAGTGCACTTGAGTGCAGCAGAGGGTTTAGGGGACAATCACTTTTTCAGGCAGGTTTGGACAGCTTTTTTCCCTTAATAAATGATTTAGCGTTTTGTATTTACTCGGGTTATATTAATATATATATTAAACTTAGTTTGATGATCTGATTTATTGAAGTGTGACAAACAAGCAAAAAATAAAAACAGAAAGGGGTAAATACTTTTTCACAGCACTGTAACTCCTCATTTGTTTAAAAATAAAATTCAGTGTATGTTTTTTCTGGAATACAACATCAAACACATTAGTTGTGCGTATTCATCCCAATATCTGTAGGTGAAATCTACTGTGGATCACCTTGTATGTTTAGGTCTTTGGATGCAGTCAGCTTTAATTAAGCGTAATATCCTCCATTGTAAATTTTTTATGTGTATAGTTGGAGGCTTGCTAGAAGCCTGGGTGTGAGTCACCCTGGGTGTGCGTCAGCAAGGTTACTTTAGGTTAGAGCTGGAGGGCTCTACAGGTCAGTTCTCTGGTACCTCTCCCCCTGCTCTAGAAGCTTGGAGAGGTTTCTAGAAGCCAGTAGGCAGGGGGTGGTAGGACTGATCTGCATACTTAGGGGAATCTGGTCAATCCCCAGGCAGGAGTTCTAGGATGGCCTCACCTAGGTCAGCCTTAAATATGACAAAGCCTAGCCAGCAGGAGAGTTGGCTGGAAGATGGAGTGAGGAAGTGCTGCTGGTGTGGAGCCTGGAAGGGGGGCCTGAGAGGAGGGGAGTCTACCTACAGGCTGGGAGCTGGAAAGAGTGACTGTTCTCACTGTGACTCTACTGTTCTACAAGCTATAGGAAAGGACAGCCTGTCAGCAGGAGAAGAAGCCAGCCCAGCGTAAGGCCTGAAAGCAGCTTCACCTTTTAAAGCTACAGGAACAGGACAGTATGAGTACCTCTACACCCTCTGGCCTACAAGGGAGAGGGCGGTCAGGTGCAAAACCCAACTAGTTCTTCCTGGGACAGCATTCTCATTCTCATTTGTCTCAGAAGAAATTTTCACTTGCTGCTTCTAGTAAAAACTGCCTTCAAAAGACAAGAGCCACTACTGAAGGAGTTGGGAGTCTAGGATCTATTTTTTTGTGTGCTTTTTGCTGAATTCTTGCCCTTTTGTACATAGGAAGTTGCCCTCCAAGTTGTTTCAATTCTATTAGGCATCCTATATACCCCTAGACCCCATCCAAGTCGTTAACCCCTAATAAAACAACAAAACCAAGCTCATGGACTGTTTACTGACTTTGGATGCGCATAGCTTAGGGGGACCCAAAACTCAGCGGCCCTCAAGAAGGTATTGCTACATAGGAAAAGACAGAAAAGACAGTAAATACTTACCCTGGATGTGAGGGTGGTGCAGCATCAATAAAAGAGACCAGCGCAATGTGTTGGAGGTTGTATCTGTGCCAGCTACAAAGAGATCTGCTGTGACATACAGAAGGGTCCTCTCACTGAATGTGCTGTTGGGATTGTCCTTATTCTGGTAATAAATAGTTGAACATACAAAAATAATGTATGTTTAGTGATGTCTATTATTCTCATCCTTTTCATAGAAGAACTGCATTTACATTTATACTGTAACAAAAAAAAACTTTTTTTTCAATAAAATATTTATATACAGTATAGGTTGTTAAATTATTAATATAAATTTTAAGTAGTACACTACAGTAGATGATGGGGATCTTTACTGTTTGATCTAATTCAAATGACCATCTTGCATCAGATCGTAGCAGAAATGCACTAACTCACCTCACTGAAAACCATGTTGGATAACTTAGGGTTTCCTTGAGATAACCCGACCTTGGGTACCTTGGTGGGCCAGCATTTCAAATCTCAGGATAGAATTCTTGACTCTTTGTGGGATGGAAGACATTGGGCAATAGTCACTTTAGTATGCTTCAGAGAGTATATTAAGGAACAATAAACTCAGTAGAAGGGGTTAGTGCAGAGTATACCCCAAGAAACTTATCGCGGTCAATACAAGGAGAAGGAGAAATGACAACCTATACTCTTCAAATTGTAAAACATCACTAGGTCATACAAGTACTTTTAGAATGAGCAGCTCTGGCTTTCTGCAATGTCCACTGGTAGCAGCTTATACCCACCTCTCAAGGACACACACCAGCAGCAATGTTCTTCCTGAAGATGTTACAGACAGGGAATCATCATCCTGCTCCACTCCTGCTGAATGGAGCCTTTAGCAGAGCAGTGGCTATTGTGACCCCAAAAACACAGTCTCACTCTTAGTCCAACTCGCCTCAGGCAGCAGGCCTAGGAGGCAAAAGACCTCCAACACAGCCTCCTCTCCTGGCCATAGCATAGGAGGCAAAAAAGGTCACCCTAAATAAATGTATGTATATCCTCCCCCAGCATGCACCACTGACAATAAACCTCCTACTGATTTGCCAGGGAGACATAAATATTCATAACTCAGTACCATTGTACCTTCTGACTGTATCTCTCCTGTAGCAGGCAGAGGTAAACAAAAGTCTAAAGCTGAAACATTTATTATAGGTATTTATATAGTACACACAGTTTAACATGTATATTGTACATTCACAGCAGTTCCTTTTCTCAAGGAGCTTATAATCTACAGTCCCAAACTCACATTCATGTATCAGCATGTATTTAGAGTGTGGGAGGAAATCCTCACAGGTGCAGGGAGATCATGCAAACTCCAGGCAAGTAGTGCTGTGGTTGGGATTTGAACCAATAACCCTAGTGCTGCTAGGCCACTGTGTTGCCTGTAATACTAGTATAGAATCCTTCTTGCATGCTAAACAAAATGGATGACCGGAGTGACTTCTTGCTGAATCTGAACAGCTTTGCTGTGTGAGAGCTGGTGAGCGGTCTTGTAGTTCATTGATCTTCCTGCTCTCAGGTAACTGCCTACTGGTATGTGAGGTACAGGCAGACAGCTATCCTGAGTCTGCAGGAGCCATACATTGCATCTGAGATCTGATGATGGTGGATGCAGTGCTTTACAGGCCCCTTAGAAAAAAAGAAATACTGTACATGCACATTTTTTACCTGCAAAAAATGGGCATTTATTATAACCACATCCCATCCACCGATAGTCTATAGATGGCAGACGGGAAGCTGTGCTGATGCAGGCTAACATATCTGTACATCGGCGACTCCTGCTCAGCTCACAGACTATGCTCCTGGGAGCCTGGCGATCATTATGTCACCCGGACAGAGCAGATCATAGTACTGTCCAATCACATAGTAAATAGTGAAAGTGTAAAGATTGGTTCTCTCTGCTCTCACTATGAGAGTACAAGATTATGCATGTACACTCATAGACTGCTGTGCCAGCCACCCCAGTGTCCCTGATCACTATTCAGTCATAATAAATAATACACCTGTTCCAGTGCTCACAATAACATTGCCACCGCAACCAGCAACAATGCCACCCAATCATCACCATACCAGGTACCAGCACCCTGATCATGGCCATATGCCATACCAGCATCCTGATCACCATCATACCCGATACCAGCATCCTAATCTCCGCATACGCCATACCAGCATCCTGATCACCGCCATGCCCCATGCCAGCATCATAATCACCCCATATGCCATATCAGCATCCTGATCACCCCTATACTCCATTCCAGAGTCCTGATCACCACCGTACGTCATACTAGCATTCTGATCACCGCCATGCCCCATGCCAGAATCCTGATCACCCCCATACTCCATACTAGCATCCTGATCACTGCCATACTCCATACCAGCATTCTGATCACCGCCATACCCCATACTAGCACCCTGATCATGGCCATATGCCATACCAGCATCCTGATCACCATCATACCCGATACCAGCATCCTAATCTCCGTATACGCCATACCAGCATCCTGATCACCATCATACCCGATACCAGCATCCTAATCTCCGTATACGCCATACTAGCATCCTGATCACGCGCCATGCCCCATGCCAGCATCATGATCACCCTACATGCCATATCAGCATCCTGATCACCCCTATACTCCATTCCGGAGTCCTGATCACCACCGTACGTCATACTAGCATTTTGATCACCACCATGCCCCATACCAGAATCCTGATCACCCCCATACTCCATACTAGCATCCTGATCACTGCCATACTCCATACCAGCATTCTGATCACCGCCATACCTCATACTAGCACCCTGATCACTGCCATAACTCATACCAGCATCCTGATCGCTGCTATACCCCATACCAGCATCCTGATCACTACCATACCAGCATCCTGATCACCACCATACCAGCATCCTGATCTCTGCCATACCTCATGCTGATGTCCTGATCACTATCATACCCCATTCCAGTGTCCTGAGCACTGTCATACGTCATACCAGGGTCCGGCATTTGGGGGTCTCAACTGATCAATTTCCAAACATATATCCCATAGTTTGTAGATTCTATTGCTTTCACACATACTAAATAATATACACTGTTTTTGCTTATTTTTACCCCAAAAATGTAGCAGAATGTATTTTTGCCTATGTTTATGACAAAAAAATGATATATTTGCAAAATATTTGAACAAAACTTTAGCAAAAACAAAGCAAACAAAGCAAAAAACTTTTTTTTCAAAATGTTCAGTATTTTTTCATTTATACAGTAAAAAATAAAAAACCCAGTGGTGAACAAATACCACCAAACGAAAGCTCTATCTGTATACAAAATGATTAATAAATGTCATATGGGTACAGTATTGCATGGCTAAGTAATTGTCACTTAAAGTGTGACAGTGCTAAAAGCTGAAAATTGGCCTGGACTGGAAGGGGGTGCAAGTGTCTGGATTTGAAGTGGTTAAAAAGAGAATGTATCCTTTAGCTTAGGAAAACCCCAACAAAAACAGAACTATGACCATCCAAGATCAGGCAGATTTAAAACCAGGGAAAAGGAAATGAGCATGGAAATTGAGTTGTTACCCACAGCAACTAATCAAAAATCTTTAATATTTATGTAAAATAAAAATATTAAAATACTGTATAAAAATGATCTCCTGGGCAGAATTTTGGTGTGCTATACCATACACCAGGTTGTCATAGAGAGCTAGCCAGCAGTGGTAATATTTAGTTCAACAGAAAGTTTGATACATCATAACAGATATTCCCTTCAACTCATCATGTGGCAAAGTGTTATGAGAAAAGAAAAAACATGATAAATAAATATATTTCAGAAGAAATGTCCTTACTTTTTCCATCTCTTCAAAAAAAGCATCAATAAAATCTCTCTTGATGCTGGGATCCCAGGTGTCTCTGTGTTGATGGATGATGCCTTCCAAGAAGCCTAGATAAGTGCGTATAACTCGAAAAAGCTTCTGATGGGGTCCGGGGACCTTCATCAGCCAAGGCATGAGTTTGTAGAACTACAGAACAAAAAAACAGGCTCTTACTTATTTTAAAATCAATATTAACACAGCACAAAAATTAATATAAATAATAAATAGTATCAATAAAAAATAATATAAAAAAAAGTGAAATCATCAGTGAAAAATGTATAAACAAATATATCATCAGTGAAATAAATAAATATATATCTTTATATATATATATATATATATATATATATGTATGTGTGTGTGTGTGGGGGGAAAAAAAGTCCACTGTCCCAAATCAATGGTGAAGAAAAAAAAAAAAGTACTTCAATCAAAGAAACGGTGCCAAAGGAAATCCAACGTACCAACGCCATCCGTGGCTTCCAGTATGGCCCACACTCACCAAATTAAATGGACTCCTAGCTGATAAGGCTTAAGAGTCAAACAAGCTTTTGAGGTAAGATGTATCCTCCAAATGAATCCCAATCAAGGAAAAAGATTCTTGCTTGACAATCTCCAAATGACCACCCTTTTTAACCACCTCCCGCCTGCCAAATAGTAATATGACGGACCCAAGGTGGTTTCTCTCGTTCTGGGAGGACGTCATATGACTTCCTCCCATTCTCACCACGCATGCGTGGCTCAGGGAGCGTGCGGCGATCGGCGGTGCGCTGTGTCCCTCGGACACAGCAGATCACCGATCACGGAAAGAGCCGAAGATATTGGCTCGGTCATGTGATCAGCTGTGTCCAATCATAGCTGATCACGTGTAAACAGGGGAATTCCGGTTATCGGCATTTCTCTCCTCTCGAGCTGTCACGCTGACAGCTCGAGAGGAGAGGAGAGCCGGTAATCGGCTTTCCGCAGAGGGGACATGTACACTGATCATCAGGGCACTGTAGCCCCAGCAGCGCCACCTGTCAGTGTCCATCAGTGCCTTGTGTCAGTGCTCATCAGTGCCCATCAGTGCCACATCAATGCCACATATCAGTGCCTACCAGTGCACATCAATGCCACATATCAGTGCCCATCTGAGCTGCCTTTCAGTGTCACCCATCAGTGCCATTCAGTGCCACCTATCAATGCTAATCAGTGCCACCTATCATTGCTGCCAATCAGTGCCACCTATCAGTGTGCATCAGTGCCACCTATCAGTGTGCATCAGTGCCGCCTATCAGTGCCAGCCAGTGCCACCTAACAGTGCCAGTCAGTGCCGCCTAACAGTGCCAGTCAGTGCCGCCTAACAGTGCTGCCTATCAGTGCCATATATCAGTGCCATGTATCAGTGCTGCCTTTCAGTGCCCATCAGTGATGCCTGTTAATGCCCATCAGTGCCACCTACCAGTGCCTCCTCATCAGTGCCCATCAGTGCCACCTATCAGTGTCCATCAGTGCAGTCTCATTAGCGCACATCAGTGAAGAAGAAAAATCACTTATTTACCAAATTTTATAACAAAAACTACGAAAAACACGTTTTTTTTCCCCAAAATTTTCAGTGGTTTTTTTAAGAAAAAAAAAAAAACCCAGAGGTGATGAAATACCACCAAAATAAAGCTCTATCTGTCACAAAAAAATGATAAAAATTTCATATGGGTACAACGTTGCATGACCGCGCAATTTTCATTCAAATTGCGACAGCGCTGAAAGCTGGAAATTGTTCTGGGCAGGAAGGGGGTATAAGTGCCCTGTAGGCTAGTGGTTAAACTCTGCACTTTTCACTCTATTGCAAATGTTCCTCTGGCTATCACACTCTTACTATTGACTATAAACCGTTTGGACTTTTTGCTATGAGTGCAATAGATACAAATGGCGCTGGAGGAGGTGTATAATACCCCAATGCACAAAGTTCATATGAATTAAAGTTCATAATAATCCATGGCTTTCATAGCAGAAAGTGGCAGAAGCCTCATAGAGTGAACCGAACTCTGTCAATCTATGAATGTCTTTTATTAGTCCCCAAATACATCACAGTGTAGCTCAAGTTTCCTATGAAAGGACTGCATTGTTCTTAAGGTTTATATGGGGGATGTGTCCACCCCTTCTACGATCAAATATAGCGGATCCTCATACATGAATTACCCTTGTTTACAGTTATGAATGCATGACACATTGTGAGCCTATGAATAGTTTATATAATATGATTAGCTCTCTGCTGTTTTATTTCAAAACATGTTACACATGTCAAAGATGGCAAATAGTTGGAAAACAGTTGGTTCATTAACTCTGTATATTCACAAACAGTATATGACAGCAATTCAGACACAGACTATATGCGAATGGCTACCTGAGTCATAGGTTTTGATGCCAGTTCAAATGACTCTCTTAGCAGGTAGATCATCCTCTGGAATGATGAGTCGTTGTAATCAAATCTGTCTCCAAATATTATAGAGCAGATAACATTGCTGACCGCATTATTAATCAATACGTATGGGTCAAACGGATGCCCTGAAAAGATATGATAACCAAGATTATGGTAGCATTACTCCAAAAATTAAAATTTAGTTACCAAGAAAAATTAAAGCAAAGCAAGTATAACAGGTATTCATGGTAATCACATTCTAGATTTAATTTTGCTAATGCCAGCTTATTCTGTTTTTATTAGAGCACTGAAAGGAATATCTGCAGGCTTGCTTACACTCAAGTGTTTTCTCAGGTGCTTAGAATATGCAAACTGCAACCCAATTCACTATACTATACAATATGTGTTATTTGCTCTAACCAGGGGCGGACACTTTGGAAACTCGGGCACTATAGGGGGCCCCATGAGATGCCCCTGGTACCTTTTTCATAGGCTATTTTGAGTTTGTGCAAGAACACAGGGGCCCCATGATCCCCTATTGCCCAGGGGCCCCATGAGTTGTCAGTCCGCCCCTGGCTCTAACTGTCATTATTTTCAACCATGTGACCATCACATGCAACTCTAAATGGTTCTAATTGCTGAACATAATAGCTGTTATTGCAAATACTGATTGGTACAGCTTAGTGCATTGACCCTGCTATGAAGATATTCTTGCTGTGTATGTTCTAGGAAAGTCTTACAATCTGCTGTATGCAACATATGCAGCATATGGTCACTTTTTTCAATAGGTGTAATGAGGACATCCTATAGATCTATTAATCACACTAAGCCTGCACATGAAAAATGCAGGTCATTTATAAAAGTATTTACCCTCCATAGTGTAAAGATGCACAGATTTCCACTATAATCATAGAAACACCCCCATTGCATTGTAACCTATTATTCAAAAATTACATTGCTACCTCAGAAGAAAATAATGTATGCTGTACAACACCTCTTATCACAGGTTGTCTTACCTTCTTGATCCTGAAAAGCAGAGCAGAGGTATCCAGCCTCCTCCCTCACTCGCTCTTCAATAGATTTTTTGCCCATCCCAAAGTTTCTCAAAGTATAAAGAACAAATCGTCTTTGTTCTTTCCAGTGATGTCCATATCTGTTGAAAGCGATACCTACACCATAAAAAACAGGTTTACCAGGATTGCTAACGTATAAAAAGTGAATTAAACTTATGTAACCTGGACTGTAGCTTATAACTACTGCTGTAACTCTTCCTTTGTTGCTGCTGTATTATCCTTCTGCAGTGTGGACAGAGTTAAACTGAATATTCATTAATGCAGAAGTGCAGCAGCCAACTTTAAGAGGACCACATTGCAATGCTCATGTATGGAGTGTCTCCAGTGCAGGGGGAAGCCATCTTGGCTGGGTCTGAATCAGACCAGGAAGAACGGTGATTGGCTGCTGTAACAAAGCATGGAGAAGAGGGTCTGCAGCCTGCTAGGAGGAATAGAGAAGACAGTCTAAAAGGAGATGGGGTGAGAACAAATAGCTGATGACACTGCCAACAAAGTCATCTTAATGAAATTTCCCATATTAGTATGGAAATGAGGCTGCACTGTTCCTGAACTCAGAGCAGAGTCACCACTTTCATGCAGGCTGTGCCTACAGTGTGATGAAAAAAAAACTTGGGTAGAAGCTGAAGCCCTGTGTACAGCCTGGATAAAGGATCCAGGATCTTCTCAAGGCACTGAGCTAAATACAAATACTGGTACAATTTATATAGTTTTATAGATATGACAGGTTAGCTTTAACAAGTTCATCTAAATCTGATTTTCAGGGGTTTTTTTGTTGCCTTTGGTTGGCTAGGACACCAATTGACTTTGTGTAATATCTTTCAAGGAATCCAGCTGAAAGATCTCTATGCCTATTGACTTTTATTGACCTTGAGGCTTTCCTATTCCTCCTCCATTCTGCCTAAAATCTAAGGGGAAATTCATCACTGAATTGAGAGTGAGATTCCCTTATATTAAGTAACAATGTTAACTCATCTGAAGAAATTGTCACTAGAGTTCCTAAGACATACAAGAAGCCAGAAGCTGACACAACTCACCAACACCTATCTAAAACCAACACGAGTTTTAAGTGGACCTTTATACATCTATCATGAGGTGCAAAATCTGATGGCTTTATAGCTGGCTGTGCAAAAACAATTTCTGATACCTGGCCACCATCTTGGTATTCTGCTACAAACTTCAAGGATAAACAACATTTATTAGCTACTATTCTAGTGGTAGTAAAACCACAACATTTTTAGTTTTAGATAGAATAAGTAAGGGTTTAGATCCCCATCATTCAATATAGCTGTCTGTATCTCGTTGGGGAGAAAGTAGGAGGAAATGTCTCTAAAACTGTTCTGTTGCCTTCTGTTCCTGTGACAGTTCTAATAGTTTGGATTTCCCATTACTTTGCGTACAATGGTTACCAGGACAGATAGAGATGATGAATATACTCAACAGGGACACAGACAGCAAAAAAACCTTACAAGAGTTCCATATAAGGATCTACCATTCTTGCTCCTTTTTATCACCCTTTGCTATATAAGTTGGAATTTTGGAGCCATATTATTTTATTTTATTATATTAAAAACAGTGCCCACACTATGCTTATGTGGTGTAAACAATATCTCTGACAAGACATACCTATTGATGCAATTTTATTAATTGTATGAGGGCAGCATTTCCCTCAGTTTTTGGGCCGGTGTAGTCTTTTTATGCTCATGGTTTATCTCCTGGGAGATTTGGCTCTTGCACCCTGGTATGGAGGGACAATGGGTCTCGTAATGTTGTAAATGTGATATTGAAGAAAGGTTTTTAACTTTAGGATGTCTATTCCCCCTTCTGGGAATTTATTTTAAATTGTAGTATTTTGCTTTACAGAGTGATACTTTATTCCTGATGAAGATAAAAGTTATGATTCCAAATGCGTTGGAAGTCCCAGTCCACTGGAACAAGCTGACAATCAAGGTTTTCATGATTGTGCAGTGTTAATGGATTCTGTATTCAGAGTACCACTCAGCATTTCAACAGTACTATGTTGCAGTATCAAGCTTATTTACTGTTTGACACTATATGCGCAATGTGAATATCTAGATACTGGATTTGAATTGATGATTTTAGGAAAATTTTAATAAAGTGTGAAAACTTTTTTTTCTTTTTAACACAAGTAAATTTCTTTGTGGTTTTTAGTTCAAAATCAAATTAGCGGATAATAATTGTACTAGAAACAAGTTACAGATGGTGGAAACCTAACACCCGTAGCTGAAGTGACATTATTTGAAACCTGTCACTGTCACCTTCTGTTCCTGTGACAGTTCTAAAAATTTGTAATTCCCATCACTTTACTGTATGTACCAGTGACAATGGTTACTAGGACAGGTAGAGATGATGAATATACTCAGCAGGAACACAGACAGCAATAAAAAACTTTCGCTAAAAGGAGTGCACCTATTTTTACTCTCTTGTGACCCAGTCAGCTAATAGTGGGCTATTGCCCACTATCCGCTGATTTGGCAGAGCCACCCCAGGCTCTGGAAGGATCCCAACAATATTGTCAGGATCCACCCAGCTGCCTGATCGGCACCTGGCTCTTCCTTTGAGTGCGTTGGCTGGTTCCACCCACTACCCTGCCCAGTGTTCCAGCGAGCACTGGAGGGGCAGAGCAGAGAAAGGTAACTGACAGTCATTGCTGTCCACTATGAGCAGACCAAGAATTTAGCGATCAGAGGTTATGTGATTACTCAGTTCTTGGTCTTAGAGCCACCGTCGGACAGCTGCAGCATGAAGATGAGTATGCAAAATTTGTTTTTTCAAAGTCCATACTTCTCTCTATATAAATATATAACAAACATGTCATACTTACCTGCTTTGTGCAATAGTATTTCTCTACCCCACCAGTGCTCCTGGCTCCTCCCCCTTGACCAGTGCCCCCAATAGCAAGCTGCTTGCTCACTCTCACCCTGCTCTATGCCTTCATAAGACACATAGAGCTGTTGCTTGACCCTGCCCCCTGATCACTTCTCATTGGCTCACTGATTGTGATTGACAGCAGTAGGAGGCAATGGCCAATGGAGAGGGAGACCTGAGACAGCTGAGGCTCCCATGTACATCGCTGGATCGAAAGGGGGCTCAGGTGAGTATTAGGGGGACTGTGGGGGGAGAAGTACACAGAAGGTTTTTACCTTCATGCATAGAATGCATGTCACTAAAAAACCTTCAGCCTTTACAATCACATTAAATTGTAATTAAAATTCAAAAAAATTCTAATAAAAAAATTAAAAACATCCCTGACTCCCTCGCACATACATCCAAATTTAAATTTGGACCCACACATGTACAGTATGTAAACAGCAACTGCACCAAACATGGTATTTATCCCAGCAAATGTCAGAGTGAGAGCAATCATTCTAGGGCCATAATTCATGGTTAACTCTAAATTGATTGATTGATTACCTGTAAAGGCGTTTTTCACCATTTCACAGTCACGTGCAAAAGATAAATTTATTTTCAGAGGTGAACAAGCGATTGTGTTAAAGTCCTTTTCTTGTTTGTTCAGAATATGTAAACATTTTATTATGCTTAGTTGGGGCATAGGTTTACTTTAAACATGAGCTGGAGAAATGTTGAAGTCAGGTATATAGTCTAGACCTATCATCCAGGGTCATTGCCAGACTCATAGGACTGAGCAGTAGAAAAACTAAAGTACTTGGTTCCTGCATTGTTGACATAAAAATGTGGCTGCTATTGGTAGCTGCCTGGCTATCATACTGATCCAATAGGTATAATACATTTAATTCAATGTAACAATAGCAAAGGCACTGGACCAGGCAACTTCCATGTTTACAATGAGGTCAGCAGTGGCAACCTGTATGCTATTGTTAGAAGGGGTTTCTGGAAATTATTTTTTAAAAAGATCAATGGATAAACTACATTGATGTGTGCCCCCCCTTCCCAAAGTGGCTGGCCTCCCTCACTGGCTCCCACAAAATTTTACCATTAATTACCATCATTCAGTCCAACATGTTCAAACATGGGAATAGAGGGCCTGTCTGAAGTGTCTTCCGATTTTGTGACCAGTGCCTCCTTAATAGCATCATATCCATTTAATACAACGATCTTTTCAAAGAATATGTTAAGGCTGAATATGTTTCCATACTGCATCCGCAACTGAAATCAGAAAAAATATTATGTATAAAACATATGACACTTAATAGTATAGGTTGTTATATACAGTAGCAACAAAACAAAGGTCTCAGTTCTGTTTACTTTTCCTTAAAAAGGAAGGATTTCAGTTGAAGTCTACCAATATCCATACCAAGCACAGCAGTGTAAAGACATTTGTATGTACAGTAACAATGGAGTTCACCAAACATTTTTTCATTCACTCTTCTTTCACAACTTGTAGTAATCTATTACTAATTAAATTTTACCAATTACTGTTACTAATACTAATAATACTTATTTGGTAGCAAATCATATTGGCAACTGCCATTTACACCGCCTTTACTGACTTCCTGCACTCAGTATATTGGACCAGGAGAGGAAATGTGTTAAAAATGTTGGGAATACAACAGCATGTACTATATAGTATTGTGTGTTAATATCACTTGACCAGTAGATGGCACTGTACACTAAGGTTACCAGTTGTGCATATCTGTAAACTTGTTGGTTCTCTCTCTTCTCTCTCTTCTAAACCAAGATGTCTGCTGTTACAGATTGCTGAAATGTTTTGAATGTTTGCAACTTAAGCCACACAAGTAAACCAAGTTCTGCCTCATCACAAGCTACTAGTGTCTTCTCTATCACATAACCAACAAAAAAGTAGCTAAGGAGAGCTGTATGGAGGAGAAATAATAACTAATCAGTAAAATCTGATTCCTGTAGTTCAGTACAGGACACATGCTCTTTAATCATTATGAATGGAGCTACTATTATGCAGCTACTTTTGGGGATTGGACACTGGCAAAAAAAAAGCTGCTTGGACATTCCCTATATAAAGTGCTATTAAACACAAAACCAAAAATGTAATATATTGCAGCTTACCGATCCCTTTTTTTTTTTTTTTAAATCAGAAATAACGTTTATTAATGGTAAAGTCATACATTTCCAAAATGACAAAGCATGTACAGAATGGTAGCAAAGACTGAATCATTAACAAACCAAACAACATAGTAAAGAAAACCTTTCAGTGCCATCAATAAGACAAGAATTCAAGAGTCTGTGCAAAGTTACATAGATAACACGTTACAATACAATCAGATGATAAGGTAATTTTGCATATACAGGACAATATGAGTATCCCCATAACAGTGGACCCGCGGGAAACAGAGAGCACTCCTCCCCCACCAGGGAATACAGGAGAGACATAAATTGGTCTTAAGAAAGTGATAATCAAATTGCAATCAAAATGAACTACAGCAGCCTATGCATTATTAGATCAAAATGGGCTAAACCTGGAGTGGCCAACCAAGCATCCCAAAGTTTCTCAAATTTACCCGAACATCCTCTATGCTGGTAAACTAAACATTACCGATCCTTAAAGTGCTGTGGTTGCATTAGTTTTCTTTTTTAACTTTTCTTCCTGTTATTTTCACCTAGTGATCTGGCTATTAACACCTCCTCTACCAGGGTGCACCCACTCTGGATGAAGGAGCAACAAAGATACCTTTGGACAGCAGCATTGCCAGAATGGACAGAGGATAGTGTTAGATGTACTAGCAAATTTAGATGCATTAACAGACTGAAGCCGAACTCCAGTTAACACTCTTACAGTTACAGTTAGCAATAGAAAGGATTTGTTGGCTGCTCATCCCCAAAATACAATAAATTCAAGAAAAATAACCCCTTGGGACTTTAATGTAGCTAACAAAATACCACACATATATTCATGTACAAAAAGTTACTGTATATACTTTATTTTACTAAATTTCTTAAAAACCTCATTATATACAGTGTATGCTAAAATCTCTCTAACAACTCTGACAAGATTTATTTAACATAATCCCCTATAAAGAGTTAAAATGCTCAAGACAAGACATAGTACACATAATAATCTCCGATGGCCCAATGACGCTGTGTGAAAGGTGCCTAACAGTTTATTTTCCTTTTGTCCTTTTGGGATAAATGTCTTCAAAAATGAATAAATAAAAGGTGACCACTGTTAGTGGTAAATGGTTATCTCAACCCTTTACCTGCCTCTTTTGCAGGACAGCATGTTTTGTTAAAAAATAACAGACTTATATTAAAGTGGTTGTAAATCTCAGACATGAAATATGAACAAGGTATATCCCTCTATAGTGTGTGCTTGTATCAATCCAGTGCACTAAGTATCATTTCTATCTGCTGTCACATTCCTCTGCTATCAGCATGAGTCACTGCTGATGAATTTTCCTGACCCCAAGAGAAAAATAGTGACAGGGAGGAGCTCCAGCAGATTGACAGCCTCAGCTATGCTTCTGTGAGCTATGTGAAGGGGGGGGTGTCTCTTCCCTCCAATCAGCTCTCAGAACTCTCCTCGTTGATGTAATTTCAGCTCCCCGCCCTTTGTTTTTCAGAGCTCAAAGATACTGTTTAAATTCTGCACTGTGAATAGATGTAGGGTAAAGACTTCTGCAGATAAACAGGTACAACTTGAGTAGGAGGATTTGTTTCATCTCTGTGTGTCACCTGAGGCCAGTCACTTCACTGGGTATATGTAAGGGTTTAAAACTACTTTAAGTGTGCATTGACAGGGGTGTTTACAGTTTACATGCTGTGATCACAATGCTTTGCATCTGCAGCAAAAACTAATCAACATGTCATGATCAGCCCATTCAAGCAAAGGGGAAAATGCCACAAACACCCAGCAACTGTATGCCTCATGCAGTTGTGATGCATTTGTCAGAAAAATTGGGTTAAAACAAGGCAGTGAGGAGGTGTCACATTGTCTCTTCACTGCCTGTCAATTGCCTCTGAAAAGCACTCTGAATATAGATCACTCATCAGAAGTGCAGTGAGTTTAGACACACATCTAAATCTTGCCTTACTGGCAGTGTCACCTAGTGAACATGAAACAAAGAAAGTCTACAAAAAAGGATAACCAATGTAGCTGCCACAGCTAAGGCTTGGTAAGCTGCAATATAACAAATGTTCGTTTTTGTGTTTTAGTATCGCTCTAACTCTTCCCACTCCCTGCTAGCTTCAGTTTTGTAGCAAGCAATAGCAATATCATAAGAGCAGTAAAATAAACCTGACAGAGTTTCTCACTTTTCTCTAAAGTTTATTGTATTAATAGCATTATAGCTTTTTTTTTATTTTTACCTTTGATAAACTTTCCGGAAAGTCGTTGAAATCCACATGGAAAATATTTCCAATCAGAGGCAGAGGGAAGGGTCCTGGAGGGTAGTTGGCTCGTCTTCTGTTCTTTACCCAAACAGCCACCAGAGCAAGGACAGCGATTGCAAGTCCTAGAAGTGTTGTGGTCCACACAGGCGGCATACTCAGAAGCTGTATATTTAAATGTGATCTCTCCCCAGATAGACTTTACTTTCTAAATACAAAAAAGTATAATACCTTAAAATGTAAGGCAGACGGTGACTGCATCTGACCTAATCTGTACTTCTAAAATCCTTGCAATGAATACCAACCCATGTTGAAACATACCGATTTATACAGACATTTTATCTGCAGGCCAGGGAAAAAAAGTTTCCTCCTTTGTTGGCTGTATTCCAGGCCCTTCCCTGTTAACCAATAGTTGTACTGCTACAATAAAACACCCCCCTGCATACAATACAGACTTTCTAGCTACTCTGTGATTGACTTTTGAAGTTTGGAGTGGCTCATCTAAATCTTTAATAGCAATATCATATTATTTTTTAAATGTACACATGAAAGGCAGATCATTGTTTTTGGCACTGGTAGATCTCAGAGCAGGACTGTTTTTGGTGGTGATACTTTTGGTTCTCTACAAACATTTAGAAGTTAATTTCACCTTGTATAGAGTAGATTAGAGTCATTATACATTTTCATTTATTGCCATTATTTTACTAAGCATTAGTATAAAAATATTGAGGGAAAAAATAGTGGAGCGCTAGTATAACCTACTGGTTTAGGACAGACATAATGAAATACAATATATTGAATGGTATAAAAGTGGGAAAAAGCAATAATGCCATAAATACACTTCTGGAAGTCACGTGGATCATGACGCGACGCGTCGGCACGCACTGACAACATTTCCGGGAACGCAGTGACATCGTTTCCGGCGTGGACGCCATTTTTGGAGTTATCGTGGAGCGAGTGGAGATGTATGTTTCCAGCATCAGAACCATGAGTATACACCCATGATATGGGAAAAAGGCGTTTATATATATTTTTTACATGTGAGTGAGCAATCGGCTTTGTTTGTTTATATGTTTAATAAAAAGCAGGATTACACTATGGAGGATTTTTTCTGTTTTCAATATTATCCTATTACGGTCATGTGGATTTAAGTACCCGAGATAGGAGAAGATCCAGAAGCTACAAGGTCGTTATCCTTAGCGTTCCATCCCTGGTGATATCTTTCCTGGTGCATGTGGGCCACCCACACAGTGAGTTGACCCGGAGGGTCATATTGAGGAGGTGAGGAGCCATCTTGGCCATCTGTGGATTTGTCTGCACATCGTGTGGCACTGTGATCACCCCACGTAGCTTGCTGTGTTTTTTGGTCACCAAACTTGGAAAGTTCTTTTCTATGGACTTTCATATAGCATGAACTGGATTTGAATTTATGAGCACATGCACTGTATCACTGCAATTTATCTACTGTTTGTGTATTTATGACATTTTTGCTTTTTCCCACTTTTATACCATTCAATATATTGTATTTCATTATGTCTGTCCTAAACCAGTAGGTTATGCTAGCGCTCCACTATTTTTTCCCTCTTTTTTGAATTTACCTTGTGGTCAAGGCGAGTGTGAGCAGCTTAGAATTAGGTTATCCATTCTAGCGCAGGAGATCTCTTTTATTATTTGTTTAGTATAAAAATATTCCCTATGTTTTTTGTTTTCCTTGCCTTGTAATGAAGGGCTGGTCCTTATGTGGCAAGGAGATATGACAGCTTCCTTTTCTGGGTCATATACCGTCCAATGCATGCCTCGCCATCCTCTCTGCATTGCGCCCATTTGTAGGAGTGCTAATGTGGTGCAAAACATTATCTCCAGTTTCACGAGTGGACTCTCTGCCTGTGAATGCTCTGCCTGCTTGTGTTTGTGTCATATCTAATTATTGTTGCAGTGCTCACCCCCTGAAGGAGGCACCAATGTTTGAGTTCTTTTTTTCCTTGTGATAAAGACCCTTCAATCAGTACTGCACCCACTGACACACCAAGACTGATGGAAAAGCTGTTTATCTGGCCAACAGATCTAGCAGAGCAACCAACAGCAACAATAATAACCATTGCACAGAGAGGGTGCGTGTAACATGTTTGATAATTTAATAGGAACAAAAAAAACTAACTTTTAATATTACTTTATATGCCATACGTCGCAGTCCTTCCTTATCACTCTCTCATGGGCCAGTCAGTATCAGTAGCCAGCATTGGACCCCAAGACTACATTGGTGTGCTCTAAACAAAGTTTTTGTAATTCCATCTGGTAAAGTAGAGTACTCCTCAGAAGAAATTCCTGGGGGGGGGGGGGGTGTCACAGAAAAGGGAGATGCTACCTCACTATACAGGAGTATGGCAAAGATGGTGGCCAAATGCCTCTCACCACTCTGAAGACCATCACAGAGTCTTCTCCCTCTCATGGGTGTCTGGAACACCAAAATCGCAAACAGGCTAACTCTTCCAGTCTCTGAGGGTAGTGGTAGTAGTCCTGGATGCAATGACCCCAGTCAAAGCAGCATATGTTCTGGGTGCATATGTTCTTTCTCACAGCTCAATGGGTTTTTCAGATCAACAGCAATGCAGACCTGGATACCACAACTTGAGTGAGGTCCCACCAGGACAGGAAAGCAGGATTTCACTAACTCTGGTGCTAGTCCTCTACCTGCAGCTTCATGGGTCAATCCGCTCAAGGGCATAGTCCTCTGTGCACACTTAGAGGTCCCTCCAGCAGTGGTGGTCTCTGGGCAGGTACAACAGTTCAGTTCTGATCCAGAAACTTAGTGTAGCACCAACACTCAGTAGCATCAGAAGGGGCTTCATGCAGTACATTTCCCTCCTGGTTTCCACAGGAAACTGTGTCCAGGAGTGCACCTCTTCTGCTCCTTTTCCTCCTCCTGGGGCCTGCAGTTCCACTTAGTCTCTCTTGTTCAAGGACTGGGGGCGGCAGATTTTTTGTGTTGATTAGGGCAGCACAAAAGCACAAAACATAATTACACTACTGATGCCTACACCATACCATGGTGTAGCATGGGTTGCCAAAGCCCAGGGAAAGGCATGCATTGGCTCCCTACCAAGCGACCACGTTATACTTAGATTTAAGAGGAGAGAGAGAGAGAATTAATTTAACACAGAACTCCAGCTATGACCTTTATTGAATACTTACATTGGTCCAGCTTCGACCAATGTAAGCATGCATATGATAAGCTGCTGGGGAAGCTGGAAATTACTGTAGTCAAGGTCACTGATAGAGTGGTACCAGCGGTCCTCTTGTATGAAGCCTGGGCCCCCTGAAATTCAGCAGTGGCAGAGCGGGGATTTTTACTTTGGAGCATCACAAAGTAATCTAAGAAAAGAAAAAGCTTTCCCCGGCCCCATTTTCCAGCCCTCAACTGCAAGTGTAAATGTGGCCTAACTGAGTGTGGCAATGCAATGATAATGTACTAGAAGCGGTAATCCTTAGTAGCCACTCAGCCGGTTACTTATACTGTATACATTACCCACTGCTGACCCCTGCACTCTGTATCTTTTGCACTCCTGACCCTTACACTGTATGCATTACCCATTGCTGACCCCTGTACTCTATACATTACATACTCTTGATGCCTGCACTCTGCACATTACCCACTCCTGACCCCTGAACTATGCATATTACCCACTCCTGACTCCTACACCCTGTAAATTACACACTCCTGATCTCTGCACACTGTACATTACACACTTCTGACTCCTGCACCATGTACATTACACATCCCAACCCCTGCACTCAGTACATTAAACATTCCTGACTCCTGAACTATGTACTTTACCCACCCTGACACTTGCACAATGTACAGTACATATTCTTGCGGCCTGCATTTTGTACGTTATACACATATTTAATCCCTGTGCTCTGTATAATTTTGAAATCTTTACCACTGTTAGTACACATTTGTCACAGCCTACTTTCGTCATAGTGTACTGTGCACGTCACTTCATTTTTCCCTGCTGGCTGCCTATGGCCTAAGGACAAGTTCAGACTCTGGCATGAGTCTGCAGAGGAAACCATTAAAAAAGTAGAGTTTACTACTGCTTTAAATATGCGGCCAGATCTATATATGTGACCAGATCTATATATGTGATCAGATCTATATGGGGCCAGATCTATATATGTGATCAGATCTATATATGTGATCAGATCTATATGGGGCCAGACCTATATATGTGATCAGATCTATATGGGGCCAGATCTAAATATGTGATCAGATCGATATGGGGCCAGACCTATATATGTGATCAGATCTATATGGGGCCAGATCTATATATGTGATCAGATCTATACGGGGCCAGATCTATATATGTGATTAGATCTATATGGGGCCAGATCTATATATGTGATGTGAAAAGTCTTGAACCTCATTAACTCTTACTTAACCACATATAGGTTGTGTTAAATCAATGTAAAAGTAAAATAAGTCTGGTGTCTGCACAATTTTTGGTCCTTCATGACAGTCTAGAGAATATGGCAGAGCCAATATCCAATAGCCAATAACTCAGTGACAAATGCAGTGTGTGGGCTAGCTTTTCAATTGTACCTAGCTATACTGTGGTTAAGTGTATGGCTGATGACACAGCAGTGAAAAATTCCACTGTCATCCATTATATATATGTGTACTAAAAGGTAGTATTGCAGGAATGGGTAAGAGCTAGGCACAAAAAAGCCCACCTGTCTCACAATGTAGGTACTTCTGCAGCTAGCACTGATATAGAGTGGAAAACCAAGTGTAATTTGAGCCTAAGCAAGGTACCAACATCCCCAGATAAATCTATAGTAAGTTACTAATACTTTGGATGTATGAGACTCTAGAGGCACCACCATTTACAAATTGTATTTATTTTTATATAAAATATCAAACTTTTATTATAACTAGAGATGAGCGAATCGAACTATGCGAAGTGGAATTCGTTTCGAATATTAGGAAAATTAGCAGACTTCGGATGCGCGAATCGAAATTTTTCCTAAAATGGCGGCGACATGTGCGGCGACGGAGCGGGGATCTCTGGGAAGAAAGGCGCGCAGACAAGGCGCGCTGACCCATAATGCATTCATTCATGACATGTGATCGCATTAGCCAATCAGCAGCCAGCCAG